CCACAAAGCTAAGGGGAGGGCGTTTATAGACAATGGTGAAAGCAAATTAGTGACGTCTACAGTTATTCGCACATTATGTGCGCTTTTCTCCTCTACTGTGTTCGGCATTAGTGCTCGTACACTTTCGACATGGCGAAAAGGAAAGGCATACTAAGAGCACTATGTCTGTGTTTCCAGTTGGTTTCGATTACAAGCTCTTTGGATATTTGGAACATGATCGGATTGAGGGTTAATAGTGGAAAATATTCACACTACACCCATGCTACACATATTGAAGTTTCGCGTGATAAGCCGGTAGGAAAGGACTTACGACTGAAAAGTACAACTGAAGAAACATTTGGCCGAATACTTTTGTGCGCTACTGTAGGATATGACGGGATCGTAGATATTTGGTGACAAAAACCGATGACAACTAGTAAGAGAAGATAAGGGGGCCTTGAGAGAGTGATAAGACGGGATGATAGAGAGTGACAAAAGTGAGTGGTGAGTGAAGGGTTATATGGAGTTCATCCAGTAATCTAGAATTTTGAACCAATGATATTTTCGCACGGAAAGGGTCCATTGATAACGACTGATAATGGTGTTATCACTACTGGAAACATTTTCGAGTACCGCCCAAGGCTTCGGTTGTGTAAGAGCTGAGTCTTTAATTGGCATTCATTTTCAAGAACGAGAGCAAAAGATTGGGATTCAGAGGTATAAGCACCAACTTTTACTGATTACCATTCGCACTGCCCTGGTGGTCCTGTGTCAGACATCGTGTACGGGAAAATATTATTTGTTCTCAAGAAAGAGTGGTGAGTTAGCCGATCACTACAACTTCGTCGAAGAAGCAGGAAAGCAGGGCGTTAGCCAGGGAACCGACTGGTTCACAAGTAACGCACTGCACATTATCGAGCAGAAGTAGCATTTAGGCGTAATGCTGCAGGTATGGCCTCTTCTACACTGCTTTGTTGTCGCTGCTTTCGTGGCTGATCGTACTCTACTCTCTTTCCAAGTGATTAAAGACGTCGCTACCCTAGGCTGGGGTCCGAGAACATTTCCCCGAAGACGGCTCGTGCACGCCGCACCCGCCGCGTATCGCAGGATTGCGATGGAGGATTGGAGCGCGCAATTTGTGAGGTAGGGGGTCCTTTAATTATTTGAATTGGCCGACCGCTCCCTTCAATTCCAATGCGGTATCGATCGTCGCTAATATAGGAGGAGTCATTCTAATTGAACAAGTCTAATATACATAAAAAACAAGAAAAAGAAAGATAAAAAAAANAAAAAAAACGATCAAAACCAATAAAGAGGAAAGGCAACCAACGAAAAATATTGCGTCATATCGATTGACGGGGGCGGGGTGAGTACGGTAATTGCAGTGACATTCGCCGCAAGGGAGAATGCCGCAATCGGGGAAAAGTTCCGTTACCCCCCTAGGCTGTTACCTCAGGCAGATACGAGCAACAGTCATAGTATGAATCAAGAACAAAACTTACTTTCAATGAAGAATTCATACCCATACTCACGCTTTGCATCTTCTGGACAGCTATGATACAAAGTCTCGAGTTGTTTCTGGAACTATCGCTTCAGACAACGAATTTGCTTCGACAAGTAAGAGTCAAGGAGCATACGTCAATATTTTCGGTATCTGTGAGAGGAGTTTTGAAGAATCCTGGTTCCAAAATATGGACGGATACGCCAAACAGTCTCAGCTCACGCCTGGAAAGATTATTGAGGAAAGGCCACTTCGGTGTACACTCAAATCACCTGATAACATCGCAGTATCCGGTTATGGCAAATTTAGCAGTAGTGTACGGTCCGATACCCATGATACCAAGGCGGGAACATATACTTGTGATTGTCACAATACGGCCTCTGCAACAAATTTAAAGTGTTGTGTGATTTCACTGATTTCCTCAAATGGTTTCTGAATTGTACAAATACCCGTTTGCAGTAATTCTGTATTTAAAGGCACCGTTTACGATAATTTAGGGGTATCCGGCATTTCACAGATAGTGATAGGTAAAGCCTACATTAGGACAATGGTAAAGCATAAAACGCGAAAAATAGCGAAAAAAAAGAAATATAAGCGGTCAAAAAAAGAGAAAAAGGGGTTGTACGAGTTTCATAATGGAAAAACGGCGGTTATGGGAATTTCAGGCGAGTAGACGAATGCGACGTAATGTCTGCCATTGCACACAACACGTTCAAACGGCTGATTTTGGCTTCTTCGTTGTATTATTTATTCTACTGACGATATTAAGATTTTGAGATTATTGTGCCTGATCCTTTTGATGACGGCTGAGAATAATTCACTAGAACGGAATAGAGCAGAACATTAGTCGAATAGTAGAAATGCAGNCAGCCGAATACTTGTACCAGAAGGGGGCCGTCGACCAGCTGACCTTCTCTGGCAATTTGCCAACCAGCTTATCGATTTTTCACCAACTTCGCTCCAATGCGAAAGTGGTGAACGGCAATTAGATTTCGTAGTCAGCCTAGCGAGGGGCGGTGGGCTATCGTGGCTCACTCCCCGACCCCTTATTGTGCCCTATCCAGACCGTTTTCCGACTCCATTCTTGCACAATTGGTATCAAGGGGGCGTGAATACAAACCATGTGCAAACCTCCGAAACCATATTTTCGTGAACTGTGCCTTCAATCATCTACTCGCACTGAATGACCTTGAAATTTGTAAGGCTTCTATAATAGGTTGAAGTATAGAAAGCTACGCCCACAGCTGGCTAGAAAAAAAACAAAAAAAGCAGAGCAGGGTTTTTCTTGTTTTCCTTTATCACTGATTAGTTTTTATCTTCTCATGTAGAACGGTTAATAAGCCAGCTCAATCCCAGAGTTCTAGAATGTGGTGCATAGAACACTCTAAAATTTCGATTTTGAAGTCTCTATCCCATCAAAGCCCCCGAGGGAGTGCCATTAGCAAAGATGCTAGTTGATGGCAATCTTTCAATGAGAGTGGAGTGAACCTTCTATTCCTATCTTAACAAAAAATTGAACAGTGAAACTTAAGTTGAACTGATCATTCTGACACCAATCTATTTCGGAATGCATGGATCTGCCCAATCTGAATCGATTAACAGTGATTTCAAGACTAAAAGGCAGGTTACATGTAAATTCCTCGTCCTGGTGGACGATAGAATTACCAGTCGGGTCGGTTGGGAGAAGTTCATCTCTATCTCCCGCGAGCGAAGGTGTTCCAGGATCATATTCTATGGCAGCGATTGCTGGCCTATAAGAAAAAGATGGGCCAGATGGGCCTGTGGTCGGAAGGGTGGACCGGATTAGAAACGCAGGCGTCAGAGTGAATATTTAAACAGCACCTGACCAGCTGAAGATCAGAAAGAAGCGTTTGCGACGCTACGGACTTGTATTGAGAAGGCCGCAGAATCATCGATAGGGTATGCAGGGGAATTTAAGGGGCAAGGTAAGCGAGATGCAAAGAAGAGTTGACGGAACGTGTTCAAGAAGCATCTCGACAAAACAAACTAATAGCAAAAGATACCGCAGATAGAATGGAATAAGGTATTTGACAAGAATAGCAGACCTTGCGACGGCACGGGATCAACGCTAGGGAGGAGAGGCCACTTGTCCTCAGACTGTGACTTTACATATTCTTCTGAATGTCCCTAAGGTGGGGTCTAAAACTTACCTTCCACTTGAAAAAAACCTCTAGAAATTTATTCCGCTTTAATAGGCCTCTTTAAAGCCATTCTAGAATAGAAAAGCAAAGTTAACAAATACGGGATATTGTTCGAATTCGCCTCGATGTTATTTATTAACCCACTATCCTTTGAAGAAAAATTTTAACTGGATATGCGCAGCTACTACATACGACTGCTTCCAATGGACGAAACCACTTTGTAGAATAAAAGTGTTTGGTAGCTATTGACAGGTTGTAGTACACCCACAATTTCTTCCCATATATTCCGCATCGTTTCTCCTCCAGACATTTCTGTAAATTATTTGATAGCCGTCCTTCCAGGGGCTGGCTTTAGCGCCCCCAGCTTATCGCAGAGGTTAATTGCATTTAGCATTTTCAAAATTATTCACCAGCACTCAGTACGGTAGAGCTCCGATATGTTATTGTTTTGAATAATTTTACGGATGTGGAACTAGTAATAGCCAAGCTATTGAAGAGTTGGCAGTCGTGAAGCCAGCCTTGAAGCTAGAGGTCATCAATTGATGGAGACAAATATCCAAATATCTAAAGTGGAAACGGTACAAACTCAATTACAATCACTAAATATTAGAATTGAATTTGAAAGTATGCCACATCCATCGGAGCTACCAAACACTTTGCCTCCTTCACGCCTCCTTCACTGGAAGCAGTCATACATATGTATTCAGTGTGCTTCATAATTATAAGGTTACCCTCAAATTTTGCACTCCGAAAAGAAGCAATCATTTAGGATTTTTCTCAGCACCATGAACGGATCCCCCAGCACGAATAATCTATGTACGTATCCGTTTTTTAGCAACAGCTGCAATTTTCTGATCTTTTTTAGAATAGTTTATCGGTTTTTGTACCGTTTCATAATTATAAAGTCACTCTGAGAAAGTTAACAACTATTCATGGAGGAGAAGAAATTTCGTCTTTCGAGATACTTATAAAGGTAAGCATGTGTAGCAAATGCATCTCTAAAGCTGACGGTCAACATGGTTCGTGGTCGTCTGCTTCCCTCTGATGAGAGGGCTCAAATTCGAGCATTCCACGAAGTTGGGCTCAGTAAGCGAGCCATCTCCACCCAAATAGGGAGATCCTTCCCTATTTGCCTGGAGATGGCTCAAAGATTCTGGAGAGCTCTGATGTCCCTAGATGTAACACCAGCTGTGGCCACGCAAGTTTACTGACGGATGGAAGATTCTGAGGGCTGTTTCCAACAGCTTTCCAACAGTACGTCCACCTTAAACTAGATTTGATCGGAACAAAACCTTTCTGTGTCGAAAACTACGTTCTGGAGAGCAGAAAGGAGATGCGAGAACATCACCAGGTAAGCAATGAAGAAGGCGCCACGAATCACCGATCGCCATAGAGAGGCTCGACTCGACTTTGCAAAGATGAACATAAGGAGAGCGCAAAGTTAGGTCTACATCAAAACCATACCATACAGTTGAATAATTTCCTTTCAGGTCGTCTTTTCGGATTAAAAGAAATTCAACCTGCGAAAACAAGTACATACTACTGGGGTGACCTGAGAAAGGAACTAGCCTTCTTTGGCCGTCGCAATTTCGGTGGAGGAAGTCTTATGGTGCATTCTGCAATGATGTCGTGTTGGATCTAGCTTTCGTGAGCTGCAGAATGGATTCCAAGGACTACCGGAACGTCATGAACATTATCTAGTACCATTTCTAAGCCGTCGCCGTCACCTTTATGTCTTCCAAAAAACAGCGCCTCCATTCTGAGCCGTGCAACGAATGAGTGGCTGCAATGCCAGAACATAAGCGTCCTGCCATGGTCAGCCTACAGTCCCGATCTCAAACTGATGGAAAATATCTGGGACATAATAGTCAGACAGTTTTATGCAAATAAACGTCAGTTCCAGAGCGCGGATGAGCTGAAGCGGGCGATTATCGAAGCATGGAGAGTAATCAATGAGGAACATCTTTGAAACCCAGTTACTAGTATGCCACGCAAGCTCTTTGATGTTGATCCTAATTGGGGGCAGGAGCTGTAGATGTGTTGCGACCAAAGACCAAAATTATAATAACGAGGTACATTGTGATGACGAATCTGCCAGTGTTTGCAGAAAAATTCCATTCTAGCTGCTTCGCCATTCGCAAAAATCGAGGGTGACCATATAATTATGAAAAGCACTGTAGTAGTTGGACACACCCAGCTAGGAATTCTTCCCGTGAGATATTCAAACGATATTAAGACGAATTCAGTCAATGTGCTATACCCGAGCCAGATGACTAAATAATTGGGTGGCCGAGTGAGAGAGTAGGAAGGATCTTTGAGCGCGCTTCCAAAAATGGATATAAAATATGTAATTTTCAGAAGTTTACTTCGTTTTAAGAGGAAATAGAGTTCAGTCTTCTGCGCTTTGGAGTGATGTTGGAAACCTATATGAAGTAGGAGTATTGAAGCAAGTGTTCATTCCTTACAAACCAATCTGTTCGCCCGGTTGACGCCGGGCCTCCCTCCTTCTCCAACAAAGTTGTAGTAATCGGCTAACTTTTTCCTCCTTCTTTGAAACAATAATATTTCCCTGTACATAAAGTCTGACAGAGGACTAACAGGGTAGTGCATATTGTGTTCAGTGTAAGTCGGTGGTTACGCTTTTAATTGTAAGCCTCGATCATTTGCTCTCGTTCTCAAAAAGGAATGCCCATTGGAGATTCTCGCTTTTTTTTGAAATTGAATACCCACCAGGGATTCAACTATTAAGCAGCCAAAGTTTTGGGCTGTACTCACAAATGTTTCGAGTAATGGTAGCACCATTATCAGATGTCCTTGTCAATGCAGAAATAACATTAATTGAGTATCCCAAGTATCTGTCTGCCTGTCTGTTTGCACGAAAATTCATAAGTTCTGTCCCCGTGGACCTGGAACGCTAAAATTTGGTAGGAGCACAGGCGGTAGGATGGGAACACATATGGTGGGTGACAGGACCGGACTCCGCCCACAAGGGACGGGAAATAAATGTTTCAGCGGAGAATCACAACTCCTGTCCCCGTGAACCTAGAAAGTTCAAACTTGGTGGTAGTACCCGATGCAGGGTGGGAACACTTATGGTGGGTAATAGGGCCGGACTCCAATTACAGGGAACGGAGCCTCAACGAAATAATTTTCTGAACGAAAATCCATAACTCCTGACCCCACGGACTTGGGGAGCAAAATCAGTGGGAGTAGAGGGGGCAGGATGGAAAAATTGACGATAGAAGAGGCTTTAGAGAACAAGACCCAATCACCACTTGAATCCTAGCGCTTTTGTTATTTACGACCTCGCTTTGATTCTTTGATATGTTTCATTAGATAAGAAGAGCAAGTGCAGTGACAGGGACCGATTACAAGGAGAGGAGATCTAGTTCACTTGTTGCTTACGACCGCTGTTCAGCAAAGTTTGCGATTCAATAAAGGATCACGGTTTCTCTCTGCTTTGATATCATTCTCGGCAGAACTTATTCGTCACTAATAATCTTGGATTCTCATTTAATGATGTAACCGTAGGGAAAAGGAGCTACCACATTCGCAAAGACATTTGATAATGGTATTATTATGACTCGACAGTATTTGTGAGTCCCATTCGGGGCTTTGGATGCCTACCAGTTGGACCTTCAGTGGGTCATTATTTTAAAGATGAACAGCGACAGATCGAGACTCCTTATCAAAGGCATAGGCATCGGCACTCCTTGAATAACGTTTGCATGCACTATTGCTCCTCTATCACATTTCGTGTTCCGAACAGTATCATTTGTTCCAAAGAAGGAGCGTGCTGTTTGCCAATAATCACAACTCTGTCATAAGAATAAAGGGGCGGTGCACTCGTGCGATTCGAACCGCGCGCAGCAAATTGCGCGGCAGACTTCAAAGCGATTTTGACGACTTTAACGCCTATCATTCGGGCACAAACTTAAGTAAAGCAGATCAGGAGGGTCGACTGATACTGATTATCCACTTTGCCTCGAGTTTGGGCCCCATTGATAGGCGCCAGAGTCGTCCAAATGCCCACGAACTTCGCCGTGCAATTCGGTGCGCGCGGTCCGAATCGCACCAATGTATACACACCCTAAAAAGGAGAGAAGCCCAGCGTTAGCCGGGCGACCCGACTGGTATCGAATGAAGAGGATCCTTCATTGAGCGCATACCTTGCTGGATAGCGGTCGTAATCTAATAGCAAGAAATAAACAAAATTCTCAACTGCTCATTGTAGTGACACTAACGGGTCCCTCACACTGTTTTTACACTCACTTTTGCCACCCTACTCCAGTATCTCGTTTAAGCGATAAAATAGTCTCTCATTCACACTCATTCACACCACCAAAAATGTCGGGGGTGGTATCTTTAAAGAAAAGCATATCATCTACTGGGACTGCAGATTGACTCATATTTGCTAATTTTAATTCAAAAAAGCCGTTGGTCAAATTCGATGCATGAGCATTTCACCCATTTTGGAAAAATTAGAATCGAAATAATCACTGCAATGCGAAAAAACGCAACGGTCTGCTTTTCGGTGATTGCTTTCAGATTATAAGCTATGTATGTCTATGTATACAAAAATTGGAGATGATAACGTAGTTGGTAGACCGCCGCTTTTGTTCAACATAAATTCAACATAAGGTGATTCGTCCTATTCGCTCATATTCGTGCTCATAAACGTATTAATGTTTTTTAGCCAAGAACAAACCCTTTTTCGACCTGAGCTTTCTCATCACCACCCCAGCGCTCCTTTCCTTCTGAGACTCGAGTCAAAACCATTTTCTTTCGCCTAGAGCTGTTTGTAAGTACAGGTCAAGTTAGCTACCCCTCTTATGCATTCTAGCCCTCAATGTTGTATAGAAGCGATGCCTTCCTCCACCCTAACTATATTTTCTAACTACTTTGTAAAAGTTAAGTATGAGGACCGGCGTAAGCCGGGTGAACCTACTGGTAAAGATAAAAAACAAGAGAAGATAAATCATCATGTAGTTCTTCCGTTCAAAACCTGTATGATTTTCAATGGTACGACAACTTCTAACCTCACTTGCTTCACTAGAGGTTTCATTGCTTGCGTGACTCGTATCACGCCCCATGCATTCACTTCAGCCACTTCCTTGTAGTCGTTGACTGTCAGAAAATCGTCAAAAAACTCCCTGCCTAATATACCAGCATTGTTCACAAGACCATGCAAACCTAAACAAAGTCATGCTTTCTGCAGTATAATTCCATTTCATTTCGAATGACTACCGATTGCTCACGCGAGAAAGATAAGGAAATAAGTTTTGTTCCGCCGAATAAACTTACCACCGAATTTAGCTGTTCGACTCTCTAAATACTTTTTTGCTTTTGATACACTCTCGTCACTTGTAACGTCCATTATGAAAGCATCGATAGGAGTTGTGCAGTTTTTGGAGAGCTCTTTGAGTTCATCGATGGACTGTAAAAAATGATACAAGTACAAAAAAAAGCGAGAAACTGCAAGTGAAATACAAAAAAAAAACTATAACTGCTTCATTCCGCCTCTAACCAAGAAAGGGTTGTTTTCTCACAAACTTCTGAATAGAGCTTGATTCAGAAATTATTATTGCTAAATGACCCTATCAAGAGCTGTGAGCGGCCAGAGTTTGCCCGCTTAAAGCTCGAATAGATAATGACGGCTGAAATGCGCCAATGCCAGTAACGGCTTGGTGGAACATCGTAACACAGTGGTAGTGCTCTCCCTCTTGGATGTTGTGAGTTTGCTCTCCGCCGTGGTGCCCATTTTTACGAAGCTTATTGCTTTCCTTCCAGTAGAGGCTCTTATATCGTTTTTTGATACTAATCAAGTAAGCGCTTTACTTCGGATCATCGCACTTAAAAAGAACAATTTTTCTCCATGTAACTTCTGTGACGGCTTTTCATTTCAAACATTGAATACCCAAAAGGAATCTCGCAACCTAGAGAAAAAGATGAGTCTGACCATCGCGCTGACTGCCGTCCTGTTATTCGCTTGACGTCCCGGAGATAGCTCTCACTTCTCACAGTGGAATAACAATCGTTGCATACCGTGCGACCAAGACTCTGACGCGTACGTCAATGCAAGAAGAAACAAACGTAGACAATGTGAGCGCAGTATCAGATATTCTTTTTGCTCGATATCTCATAGCTCATCCGCCGCACGCTTCCTTCTGCATAGCTCCGGAGTATAATTATCTATTGATTTCTCAATCTAGATACACATACATACATAAAGAGATACATGTTCCAGTGTAAGAAGAGCATCAGGTCTGCCTTTCAGGATCACAGCCTTCGTTAATTCCAGTCTTTCCACGGATGCCGTCAACTTCGGCCAGCATTTGTTCCACCTGCTCGATGTCCCTTCTTACGAGGACGATGTTGTCTACAATGCGGACAGATGAAACCAGCAACCGCCGAATTTCACTGCCGAGTCCCCATTCAAAATGATGCACGACATCCTCGAAAGTGTGAGCGAGCTGGTGTGGCCCTGCTGAACCCTCTCTTCGCGCCAACAATGAATTACATGTAGAGTAACAGAATGTGGTCATGAACTTGTTGCAGAGCTCCAAAACGTCCTTCTGTTCAGCAGGAACACTCCAATTGCCGTCCAAGGCTACAATTGCCGACGCTATTTCGATGGTATAAAGAGTCTTTATCAGATTGATGAACGACAGACACAACGCATCCTACATATACTCTAGCGATAGTTCAAGTGATAGTGTGAACATGTGTGACCGATTGTACTGAACTCTATCCGTAATATTCAACAAGAGTGACAGAATACTCGATGAAGAACACCTTGTTCGCTCGCATGGGTGTTCTTCATCTTGGATTTTGTCAATCCGGGTAAAAAGACTCATATGCGAAGATTTCATAATGCAAAGAGCAGGCAGGTTGGGCAATAATTACCAACAGTTTGAGTCTCTCCCCTTATACAGGGCTCTATCAACAACTGAAAGAAGGCTCTTTGGACGCTTTGGTCAATTAATCGTATACTCCTTCAAAGACTAGATGACATGTCGAATTCCGGATGGGAAAGCTGAAGGAACGACATATGAAAAGTAAAAGGAGGCAGTAGATGTGCTCTTGAAGAGATGACTTTGTCTGTTGCCCTTTGAGGTGCAGTAAGTGATGTCAAAGAAGTCATCTCGATCTGAAATTATCGAAGCTCCGGCGGGCTTTGGAAAGCACTTCTCGCTCTCGGCGGCTCCGCCTGAATCCGCTGCTTTTCTCTCTTTCGAATCTTCCTTAGTCGCTTCTCTGCATACCTCCACAAATTCGGTCATTTGTTGATTACTGCCTGCGCTCGCGGAATTCCACGGAACTGCATGAGCTCGAGAGTTTTTGAAGAGAGAAGCCTCTTGCAATTCTACACTCTGTGCTTTCCTAGCATTATCGTGCACGTGTTCGACGAGCCGGCATCGATGGTATGATAAAGAAATCCTCCCATATGCTTGAAAGGAAAGTGAAGTGGTGGTGAAAGTGTGGGTTTTGTTCCTCGAGCTACGCAGCGTTTTTTCATATTATAAGAACTGTAACTTGAAGCAGAGAGTGGTGTAATCCCATTCAGATCTTTCAAACGATAGCAGCGTCACCCGAGCGACATTCTTTATATCCAATCATATGGATGGGGTGATTCTTTTTCTTCGAAAGTAATTGATTGATTATGTTAAAAATGGGCTAGTATGCATAACATCAGAATTTTTCGTTCTTCACTTCACTGCTTTTAGAAAGGCTACTGATGGTGACAGTTTCATCAATTCATCTGGCTCGTCTTTATTTGAGAAATTTATAAAACTTTAATATTTGATAGGTCCAAATCAATTATCTATATTGAAGTATTCTCCCAGTGCATCCATCTATGCATGCGTATATGTAAGCATGCTGTTACCGTCGGAAGCAACAATGAAACCAGACACATTTTTTTCAAAATTCTTTTTGTTCTTTTTCTATTCGTAAGCAACACTTCGAAAGTTCCAAGATCGTACCCTCGCCATAGCATTCGACTCTCAGCGACGCCTTCTCAACAACGGGCCTTGCGAAGATCTGAGCATTCTGTTAGTCTTCATATTTTTCTTGACAAAAATGAACGACATCGCTCTGGTGGCACAGGATGAAGCTCTAACCATTATGAAAGAGGGAAAATAGATCGACAGAAGGATCTGACCGTTCTCATCAGCCTCGGCACAACACTTACCCTAGTGTGAAACATACGTGTACTCTGGGATCTGAGCATTCCTTCCACGCCAAACACTTTTGGACAGAGAAAAGTGTGCCGAAGTGCGTGCCGCATGGTAGTAGGACACTACATTTGTTTTTCACATAGAATTTCTAATTGTCAGAACGCTTAAAAAACTCCTCAAATCTATCTAGACACAGCTGTATTCGATAGATGAATTTCCCAATCGAAGTAGCACGAACATTCACTCGGCAAGAACATTTGGCAAACTTATACAGGTTTCGCAACGACATCATTTCCTTCGAGTTGTATCCTGAAAGGAGGTCACATCTGAGACGAGATACCTGTCCATGCCCCGCGAACCAGTAGAGTGTGAATTGCGTGAAATGTCGAAATGACGAGCCATCCCGGAAAAGAGCTCGGGACATACGCGCAAAGACGGAACGGATGATGGATCAGGGCAAATCTTCATCACTTTTTGAGAAGTAATGAGTTGATGTATCAAAGCAGATATATGAGCTCAGGTATATCATGAGTATAATGGAAGGTGCAGATGTGGAAAAAACTATGGGGGAATTGCTTCAACCATAATTATGGCGCACCCTGTACGATTGGACTGCATAGATCCCTATCGGTAGTGTTTTGGGTAAAATATGCCACCTGAACCTCCAAATTATTTCCAAAATCGTTTGTGCACACTATAACGATGTGCTTAAGATTCTATGCGAATACTGCCAACTCCGTGAATTTGAAATATGCCGGATCCGTGAAAAGACTTAAGCTGTATTTCGAAGCAGGTGTGATGATGCTAATCCTTGTTACCAAATGCTACTCTTTTTGAAACCAGTTGTTCGATTACTAATTATGTGGATGCAGTTTCTGAAATGCTTTACTTTTGCTCAGAGAGGCAAGTGAAACAGCAGAATCTTGTCACAATGGTTAACTAGCTGGTAGCTGCCTTATATTTCAAACCAGTCGGATCGTCCACCTAACGCAGGACTCTCCTCCTTCTTATGTAATAGGGACAAAGACTGGTAGAAGTATCTGGGATTTCCTTTCGATGAATATAAAATGAAACTGTTTCATTCTAATAATGACTTCCTCGAGTAGTGCTTGGTCAGGGGATGATACAGAAAGTCGGCTTAGGAAGCAGCATACCTATCTAGGGCGCTTGGTTAGGGAATGCTCCATGCCATCAGGGGTTGCCCATAACATAACATCGTCATCTCCATCTGGCTAACCCCGTCCAATCCAGAGATTCGGCCACCCTCCCTCTGACACCTCCAGCCACTTCTTTCCCGCTTTCTAGTACGTTTTTGAATAACTCATAAATATTTGATTTTGGCCTCGCCACCCACCCCCCCCCNAGTATTATGAAGTGGATAGTTCTTTGATGTGCGTTGCGCAGCAACGCACATCTGTGAGCAAAATTCACACTTAAAATTAGAGACTTCGATTAGATTGGATTTCTAGTGATTTTCTTGAATTTCCGGTTATGTTTCTACGGAAAAATACGCGTCTAGTCTGGAAAACAGGTTAAATGCAAAGGCATTTTCGGTAAACATTTCACCGAAGACTTTTGAGCGCTACGGTAAAAATTATTCGTGAGCAAAAAGTTTTTTTTTTCGCCCACGATGCCCCCCTCTCTCCTCCCTCAGTTGGCTGCGAACCGATAGTTGAATAGTCCATAGTATAGGGATTGAGCATGACAGTAAATAGCCAGGAGAATGCTTTTTACGACCGCTCCTAGCAAAGTTTGTAACTCAATGAAGGATCACGTTTCCTCTTCGCTTCGATATCACTTTCGGCAAGATTTATCAGACCGCTAATGATCTTAGATTCTCATCCAATGAAAGATATGTATCCGCTTCATTGATAACGCATTTAATCATTTGCCTACGTGACTTTTGGGAGGACACACAAACGGGCATACAAACGGACACACAAAGTTAGCGGTTTATATACAGTAGCGCTCAAAAGTCTTTGGTGAAATAGTTCTTCAGCCGTACTTTTCAGTCGTAACTCCTTTCCTACTAGATCTAATCTTGCGAATTTTCTATATTTGGAGCGGGTGTATTGTGAATATTTACCGCTGTCAACCTGCAATCTGATCATGCTCCAGATATTCCGAAGAACATGAACTCAAAATCGACTGAAAATACAGACTCTTACTATTTTGTCATGTCTAAAGTGTACGAGCGGTAATGCCGAACACAATAGATGAGAAAAACGCACATAAGGTGCGAATAAGTGCAGACGTCAACAACTTTACTTTTAGCAAAATCTGCTACCGCAACAAACACCTTGTTCTATCTGTGGATATTGCAGCTTCGCAGTCAAATAGTGTTGGATAGGGTGAAATATGCTCTAGTTAAAAATATCCAAAGAAAAAAGTTATGAATGAAAAGGCATCGAAGCATTTCACCGAAGACTTTTGATCGCAACTGTATATCATGAATATAGCTACCCATTTCTCCTAACAGGCAACTGAAGGCCCGAAATGGGCCGCTTAATCCTTAAATTTAACGTGAATTCTGATTGCTCCTCGATTTTTCGATCTGTTCAGTGTGTGCCGATGCTTACGCCTGTAATTAGAAGTTTCGACCTGCTGCTCTTTATTAGAAATACTCATCCATTGGAGATTTTAGTCAATCAAAGCTCTGAACGATACTCACAAATGTGTCGAGTGATAATAACACCATTATCGGATGTAGTCATCAACAAACCTTCCTTCCTCTATCCTCCGGAGATATCATCAATTGAGAATCCCAGACTAATGGCGGTCATAAAATCGTTGCCGTAAATGATATCGAAACAAACGAAAATCGTGACACTTCATTGAGTCATAAACTTCACTGGGTAGCGGCAAGAATCTAACAGCAAGATATGAACCAAATTTCCATCTCATACCAATTGTCTTCAATCGGTCCCTATCACTGTACTTGCCACCCACTTTTTGTCATCCTACTCTACCCTTTCTTTTTGATGAATGGAACATACACATAGGTCAAACCTGCATCGTAAATATCGGAGGCGTTGGGATCTCAATTGGTAGGTGCAGGTTCAATTCTCCAAGGTTCATATTAGTCTTCCAGCTCCTGTCATTGAGCACCTAAAACCCCCTCACAACCCACATCACCTATTGAAAAAATAAAGTCCTCCTCAGGTCAATACACCTTTTGACCCTCGCCTTCTTTGGCTTGCTAACAGTCCCTATCAATCGTCATCAGCCCCTGCTATATTATCATTTCCTTTCACGCCACCTACCAAAACTCCCTGTTACCACGCCAGCAAGCCTCCCTGTTAACTCGGAATGTGTTATGGACCTAGGGGCTCTCGCCTTCTATGGCTCTTTATCAGTCCCTAAGCTGTTAGCAGTCCCTATCAAAAACCATCGACGGTCTTTCATTAAACCACATCCCTATTAAAGTGCCGAGGCTTCTACCGTTAACGTAAGGGTAACAAATTCTGGGGTCTTCTCGCATTCTAAGGCTCCTTATCAGCTGCTATCAATTTCATCACTTCCTCTCCCCTGCCTTCAGTGTTCCCTTCACGCTGCCTGAACTCCTATCGAGATTAAGCGCTTTAGATTCATGATTGACCACAAATTCATAGCAGAAGTTTTGAATTTATGGTCATTCATTTCTTTCGCCCACATCCCTCCTCCTGTGGGCGGAGTTAGGCCCTACCACCAACCATAAGTGCTCCCATCCTGTCACCTGTACTCCTACCAATTTTGAACGTTCACGGAAACAGGAGTTATGAATCTGCTGCGAAACACAAACTATGATAGGTGTGTATACTCGATCGGAAATTCATTACTCCTCTTCCCTGAACATATAGCTTTCAAATTTGGAAGAGGTACAGGATGGGAACACAGATGTGAAGTATAGGAAGTGATAACAATCAGTAAGACTTGAGAAGAAGCCTTAGAAGGTAGAAGCCACGAGATCCGTTACTCTCTTCGTGCTAGCGATGAACTCTTGGCACTTTCTTAAGGGTGTGGGATATTAATGAACCGTAGATGATTGGTGACAAGGATTGATAACAACTGGTAGGGACTTATATCGAGCCAAAGAAGGCTTGAGCTATGAAGTCTGTAATGCACTTCGTGTTAACGATGGAATCTTGGAGAGATGATGTAGGATGTGAGGAGATCGTAGCTCCTCGGTGACAGGAACTAATAACATTTTATAAGAACCTAAAGAGGACTTCGGAGAACCAGAGCCACCTACCATGTGAAATCCTAACGCCTTCGATATTTACGATGTCGCTTTAACTTTTTTGTATGTTTCAGTCCATAAGACGGAAGAGCAGATTAGGATGACAAAAATTGAGTAGTAAGTGCAATGAAGGGGACCGATCAATTTGTTGTGAGGAGACAAAATTCGCATTTTTTGCTGTTACCCCCAGTGGGGGGTGATATGGGTCAGAAAATTTTTCGCTGAAAACTTGCACCAGGGGGGTTATCGAGGATGCTGATCACGATGTGGTATCCATTTTTAGCGCTGGCGCCAAATTGGCGCCATTTGGTGCCAGTTGGGTGTTTTCACCAAATTCGCGTGAACTTGTATATAGAGAATATTCGAGGTCCTGATCATATCTATAACAAACACTATCCCTTCTCACGAAAGTTTTCTTGCAAAAGCGGGTCGGCCTATTGTCCACAGACTTCTGCCCTCTTCACAGTTGGGAATCAAATTCAACGTGAGCAATAGCACCAAAATGCCACCAACTCGCCCGTCGAACTACACAAGTCCTCGCTAAGTAATTACAAACATATGTAACAGTTTATTCAGGATCGTCCTTGCTCTCTTGTTCTGACCAGCTCTGCGACTTCAAATGTAGCCCTAGAGCGGGCCGTTAGGTAGCTCACGAAGGATGTCGAACTCGTTCAGCAGGGGTATAGTGCTGCTACCTGGTCCCAGAAGTTGTACAGGGCCTCACGTCGATCTCCAAATTGTTTTTTCCACAAGCATTCCTGCATGTAGTCTTCTTATGGAGCGCTGTTAATGCCATAGCGTCGCTTTCACACTTCCTTGTAGTTTTGCCAGAGTGACTCAACATGCTGAGTATGTGCTCCAGTTCTGAGGTCGACGAAGTTCAATTGATGGTTGACCTGGAGGTGTCTGTATCCGAGAGGCAGGGTTAAAAATGTAAGAGTAAGCTCGCCAGCTGAATATGGTGGTCCCAGGTCTTATGTACTTCGTGATGAGACGCAGGAGAGTGGGGGCATCCCTCCTCCGAACAAGGGTGAGGGAAGCTCAACCGCATCCCCTCTCGATGCCAGTAACCAGGGTTTCTCGATTTCCACTTCACATAAGAATCCTCCGATGATTGGTGGGTTCCTTCTCAAGTGTTCTGCGCATACGTCACGGAAACATTTCTCACACTGAACAACGGTACGAGGATTCATGTGAAGCTCGTATGCTTAGCCCTTCACCTTTCCCATGTCGTGGTGCCAGAAGTAGGACAGAGCAGACACAGTCGATTGGCCGACTTGTCGAAGAATGAGCCTTTTTTAGCAGGAACGTAGACCATCGTTTCGTTCGTCGGTCCAGATTCGGGTTACACACTCAGCCATTGCTGTGCTCGTCGTTCCTCGGCGTCATGGATTCTTTGCACGATGAGCATAACTGTGCAGACATTAGCCCCATAGATCGCAGCCAATCCTGGAACTGCAGGTGATCCATCTGGAGTTTCTCGAACACATCCTTAAATGAGAAATCCATTAACTCCTGCTGGTGATTGCGTTGTCTCAAAACATTGAGAGCCATTGCTTCACTTTGGTAACGAACGCGAGAAATGAATCTACGGCTACTCATGCCGATTCCTTGGCTCCCTGCAAGCGTGGGAAATGCCTGGGGTCATACCGTTTTTCCAAGACCTAGCTGCTTGCGAGCGTAGGAAAATGCTTCTGACCTCATTTCGATTTCATTCCGTCTGCTCGAGAGGTCTGAAGCGCAGTCTCTAAGGTGCCTCAGGTAATTGGGCTCAACCTATTATCAAGAGAGCTACCCGTTTCACAAAGAATGCCATATTCGTAACCAGCGGCCTCGATAACTCCTGTACACAAGTTTACGGCGAATTTGGTGAAAACACCCTTGGCGCCAACTGGCGTCAAATAGCGCCAAAAACGGATACCATATTCGTGATCAGCGGCCTCGATAACCCTGGTGCAAGTTTCAGCGAAAAAAATTTTTTGACCTGTATCACCCCCCCCCCCCCCCCCCCCCCCCNCCCCCCCCCCCCCTCCCCCATCCTCCCCGCCCCCTCCCACTGGGGGTGTAATAGTGCAATAGTGACGAAACCACATCTGATAATGGTGTTCTTATTAGCCGACTCATCAGGTCGAGGCCTCTGATCGTAGGCTTGAGCATTCGCGCACACTAAATAGCTCTTGTACTGCCCAGTTCGTCCTGTGTTGAATTTTGTGTACTGAAAAGTGATATCTGTTCCAAAGGAGTGGCGGGTTAGCCTATTATTACAACTTTCGTTATCTGAAGGAAGAAAGAGTGGCGTTTGGCGATCCCCATAGTGAACAGAATTTGGAGAAGTTGTCTAAAAAATTAACATTCACCTAAGTTACTATCGAACTTCTAGGAACAGAGAAATATCTCATAATCTCAGGCACAAATTCTTCGTAAATCGCATTGGATCAGTGTACAATCGCCTAACCAAGCTTGACTCCCTCCCTAAGTCGATGAATGCTCTCAAGGCCCATCTTAGTAAAGTTCTCCAATGAAGCTCTAGCGAATTATATTTCTCAATTATATTATGTTGTGTGTATCCTGTTGTGATTCTGTTTTTGTTGCCATATGGCAACCACACATGCTTGACATGTAATAAATAAATGAATAAATATTAGTCACTATCATTCCCTTTGGGCGGAGGTGGTGTAGTGGCAAGTGGCGAACTATCTCACACACACGGTCAGGGGTTCGAATCCCGGCTCGATGCCCACCTAGGCCAACCGAGCATTCCATCCCTCCCGGGTCGGTCAATTGGTACCAGACCCGTCTGGGAGGATAAAAGCACTGACATGTACATTGGCTGGCCACCGCAAGTCATTGTATAAGCCCCATACGCACTCACTACGCCACTACGATTCTGAAGGGAAGCCGAGTGCGAGGGCGCATCCCTTCGACGGGATTGATTAACGCCGGAACTTTATCCCTTATCCTTATCATTCCCTTTAGACAGAATCAAATCTATGCTTTAAAACGTGCTCGAGCCCGTAGCTGAACTAAATAACTGCAAGGATCTTAGAACTGTTGCATTCTGGTTCACATTTAAGCTTTTTCTCACATCATAATCATTATTTATTGCATCACGTTCTGAATATCAAGTCTAATAACAAGATGTATGATGTATAAACTATTTTTTTTTNTTTTTTTTTCACGAAATTTCTTTTTTCCCGATGCAGTGGCAAATGTTTCAATGTCAACTCAGATCCATCGCATAAATTAATTTCTGACATGTCATGCAATATTTTCTAACTACTCTCACAGTAAACTGCTAAGGATATGAGATCTCCTCAACAACATACAATGTTAAACATTCTTTGGATTTCTCAGACATCTCACTGTTTGGAAAGATAGTTGTTTTGTAATGAGTTTTTCTTTCTCGTACCAACGCTCAGACATAAGTACAGGCGGTACTATACTCCCAGCGAGAGAAAGGCATCAAAGTTCATCGATAATTTACTTTTCGACTGAACCTGTTTCCTGACTAGTACTGATCATTATTCATTTCCAAAGTGTGACTGTGGTATACCTGATCTTTCGAGGGTTTAGATAAAGAACTTTTCTGAATGATCAAATATTTTCTAGTCTACACTCTGTGCCAGATAAGTCATGCTTTCAATAGAGTTCGAGAAAGAAAGTGCGAAATAATTCGTATGTGGCTAAAAATAATTAAAAAAAATTCTAAAAAAGCATGAGAAATAGGGTCTCAAATAGCAGATGTTTATTATCAGTGTATAGCTTACTAGCCGGGTCGCCCGGCTAACTGTGAGCTTCCCTCCCTCTTATGATAGAGTGATAATAATCGACAAAGCGCTCGCTCTTTCTTTGGAACAAATGATACTTTTTGAAACACTAAATTTGATAGAGAACTTACAGGGCATGCGTGGTATTCGAAATGTGTTGATGCTTATGGCTCTAAACAGGAGTTTCGATTTGTTGCTTTCATCTCGAAAACAATGACTCATTGAAGTTTCAACTGATCCGAATCAGAAAATTTTTTTCGTTCATGCCACGCCCCTTGTGGGCGGAGTCCAGCCTTGTCACCTATCATCTTATCTCCTCTACTCCTACCGAATTCTAGCGCTCTAACAAGGAAGGTCTTTCAGGGCGTGGGACGCTTTTTGAAAATGGTTTTTTGCATGGTATAGGGGCATGAGCACTGAGTATAAAACTATGGTC